ACAAAAGTAACCTTAAAATTAGAGTTTTTAGATCAAGAGCTCACTTTAAAGTTTAAATTAGTAAACATAACCTTAAAATTACATTAAAGCACAAAACTACGAACATAACCTGAAAAATTCAAAATTAAATTATTTCAATTGACGTTTTTTTCGCAATTGAGGAAATTTAAAACTTTATCGCCTTAATGTTCTAATTCTTATTTTCAAAATTTTATCACTCCGGATTCTCTGTGAATAGCAAAACCTTTTTTTTCTTATTCTATTAGAGAATCAGCGTGAGATTTCTTCTTTTTTTTTTTGTTGTAACAAATGCCACGTGACAGTGTAAGCAAATTTCTCTAGTCGACAGTCTTCTTTTATTATTATTTTCTTTTTCCTTGAAAATCTCATATTGCAGGTGGGAGCCAAGATGATATGGGCAAGTTTTGCTGTCGCCCTACGCGAAATTAAGGCAAATTGTGCGCCGTTTGCTGCCATATATGAAGGAGTCTCTTGGTGGAAAATCGATATGCAAATCTAGGCGCAAATCCTAGTAATCTTGCACCCTAACCCTCCCTACTCCCCCGCACACACACACACACACACATAGGGTGCTTGACTCCCGGTATGGCGTGCTGCAACGACCAAAAAGGGAGGAAGAGAGAGAGAGAGAGAGAGAGAGAGCAATGAAGGTAGGATCGTAGGACTTGAATGGCATGGAATAGTGAACGATGTCGTCGAGTCGCGTCGGTGACAAGATAAAGTGGGGTTACCACGGGTCTGAAGGATCCTGTTTCTCGACCATCTTCCATGTCAGGATTTTAGTCAAGGTGAAAAAGAGAGACTGCTTTTCAAACCAAAATCACAAGAGATCTCCTTGCTCTTCAACACAAATTTCACACTTTATTTTCAAACCAACTTTCACCTTTAAACACTCTCAATTTTATATATATATATACCTACGTATATTGGAAAATTAGAGCTGTAAAAACATAATAATTCAATTTCGTTTCTTTTCCTTCTTTCTTTATTTTATTTTAAATTCTATTCAAAATTTTTCATGATCCAATGAGTATTTGACACGAATTTCCATTGTTTGGGCCAAAAAGTGTGTTGAAAAAAATTTTAATGGATTTTTATGAAACTTGGTATCTTAAGGTTTTCGAGGTCGTTGGTTACGAATCTGACATGAGTTTTTTCAAACTTTAAATTGTTCCCAAAAACCATCGAGTAACAAATTTCAAGCGAGTAGGATCAATTTTTAATTTTGTCGTTCCCCATATGGGATCCGCCCTTTTGAATTTTGAAAAACTAATGACAGATTCATAATCAACGTCCCAGAAAACCCCCGAGAAACAAGTTTCAAGAGAATTCGATATATTTTGAAAAATTGTTCGCCATTTTGGATCCGTCATTCTGAATTTTGAAAAACTAATGTCAGATTCGTAATCAGCGACCCCGAAAACCCCCGAGTAACAAGTTTCAAGTGAATCCGATCAATTTTTAATTTTGTCGTCCGCCATATTGGATCCGCCATTTTGAATTTTGAAAAACTAATGTCAGATTTGTAATCAGCGACCCCGAAAACCCCCGAGTAACAAGTTTCAAGTGAATCCGATCAATTTTTAATTTTGTCGTCCGCCATATTGGATCCGCCATTTTGAATTTTGAAAAACTAATGTCAGATTCGTAATCAGCGATCCCAAAAACCCCCGACTAATCAATTTCACATCGATATTGAAATCGAACAGGTTTTTTAATACAATCAATTTTTAAAAATACAAAAATAAATAAATTATTAACAATAACTATAAATTTAGTTAAGACAGGATTCAAATTTGAAGGAGTTTCGCGCCACTTCCAGTAGAGGAATTTGATCAGCCAATCAACGCACGGTTTAGGAGCAAAGGTTGCGTTCTATTATTTGTACACTGTAATAAATTTCTTTTTAACTTTACATACAGTGTATGCGAGGTAAAAAACTTACACTGTGTGGGACATTTTTACAGGATATAGTAACTGTACTTTGAGGTTATGTGGATTCACTAGCGCCTGTAAAATTACTAAAAGTTGTAAATTTAATAAATTTAACTATAATAATTGTGATTCGAAGCACCCGATGTAACAAGACGACATACGAAACGACATTAATTTAATTATAACAGATTATTAAAATAGTTGTTTAGTAAACGAAATCAGGCAAAAAAAAAATGCAAAAGTATACAAATTTTTAAATTTAAAGAAAATTTAATTGTCGATGTATTTTTCTATCAATATATGTGATTTTACAATGGAAAAATTGCTTTTTTACTTTTTATTTAGTAATTTTACAAAATTCATGATATTCACATTTTCAAAATGTAAATTAACTTAAAAATGTAACTTTACATTCGTCCATAAAATTACATATAGGGTATGCGAGGAATCGCTATACACTGTACTGTAAGTTTACGATATCTTGTATTTCTAACCTCAAAATCATTAATATTGTCAAATTGAGTGCAGTAAAATCACATAATTCTGTAACGAAATTTGTTACAGAATCTTGTAATTCTACTATTTAAATAGTAAAATTAAAACCATTTTTACAGTGTATGTTTCACTGCAAAACATAACCTATAATTTTTTGCTTATGTCCCTTTTTAGAAAGCACGTAAAAAATTTTTCTTGGAACTAATTATTACTTTGTACTCGTGATTAAGATTATTTATTTTAAAAAAGAAATTCAATAATTATTATTCTTTTTGAATAATAATAATAATTAATTTAAATTGTGTCAAAATTCAGAAAGTTTTCGCAATTTTTGCCTGTGATAATTTTATGAATTTAAAAATTTATCCAATTCATTGAATAAACTTGCAGTGATTTTATTTTACGGAGTAAAATAATTCAAGATTAATTCAAAATTTTATTTTTTTACAATATTCTGAAACTTACAATTTCTAACGTTTAAATATAAATAAAATTATTCTATTCTATCTATTTTATCAAATAAAAAAATACCTACCTATTTTCTTATTTTTCATAGAGATTTCGAAAAAAAAATGTTTTGACCAAAAAAAATTTTGAATGAAAATTTCCCGTTTCCCCATATATAATCTAAAATTTTATACAATATCTTCCAATATAGTAGAAAATAAAATTTTTGTTTAAAAAAATCAACTCTCTAAATTTAAATTAGTAAAAAATTTAAGTGAACCCCTCACTTTTTGCTTTTGAATTAGTTAAATTTTACTAAAAAAAAAATTTTTTTTTTACTTTTAGTTAAATTTTCTAAGTCAAAAGCAAAAAGTAAATTATAAATGCAATTTTACAAATTCAGATTTAAAGAAAAATAGAAAGTAAAATTTAAAATATAATCAAAGTTATATTTTGTTTGAAATAACAATATATTTTTTCCAAAGTTATAAATGCGTCACATGCGAATACAGTGATATTGTCGTAAAATATGATTTATATTTTGTTCGAAGATATGAAAACGAGATTTCATGTAAACTCAATTTTCAAAACCAATCAATATTTTCCATTGAGAAAGTAAAATAAAAAAAAAAAAGAATTTTACAAGAAAAATATTTTTCTAGTTATATTCTAAAAATAAATTTCATTTTTATTGCTTTTCCAATTATTAGTTAGTGGGCTATTAAAGTTAAGAAGGAAAAAGAGAAAATATCGTTATTTGCGATAATTGATACTAATTTATTACGAGTATTAAGTAGGAATTAATTTTGAGACAACATAAATGAATGTAAGTTTAACAAGTATATAAGCTAGGTTTCCAATTAGGCAATACATTAACCAAAGGGAGGAGCGAGTTGGTGTTCACAGGCAGTTATTACCTAAAGCCATTGGCTTTCTGGAAGACTTAGGTTGTGGCCTGGCTCAAGTCTTAAGACGATGTTTGTAACCAAGTACTTGGCTCTCTCTCTCTCTATCAGAATTCTCTCGTTGGTTAACTTAATTTGAGCCAATATTGTTAAGACTCTAATTAGTATCATCATTTGCCATCCATGTTTTTGGTCATTATATTATTAAATATATTTTGCTCTCTGTAACTTTTGTGTTTGCAAAACACTAGATGGAATATCAATTGTATGTATATATATATATATTATATTAGGAGATGCTCTTTTGAGGTTCAGCCACTCACGTAGAACAACGTAAACTAAATGAGGAGCACTTTGTGATATTAGGGATGATAAGCCCTTGTATGTGTATATATGTATATATGTGTGCAAGACACTTTACCACCATTTCTGAAAGGCTATAGTTATTAAACGGCACCTTTAGCAACAATCTCGTGAGATTATACTTCGTGTAGCTTGATAGCAAGATCCGAGTTCAGTTTGCCAAGTCGCGCGCTCGACTTAACGCAATTCCATGATATGAGAGCAGCTTGCTGTTTGAGTTTGTAACGAGGAGTTGCTCCTTGCTTGTAAACAGTCACCGGAGTTTGCTTCAAAACTTCATATCAGGATGGTGTTCACTTTCAAAATTTCATCTCTCTCTATATCTGCCTGTCATTTATAATTATTTCTATTGCACATTTAATTAATATATCTCATTAGGAATATCGTTAAAATTAAAAGAGTGTGCTGACAATAATAATTTATAGAAAAATTATTACCCAACAGTATTTTGGAATTTTTTTTTTCAATCCCACCGCTGCCACCTTTGCGTATCGTAGAGAGCGCACCAACTTGACCTCGGCAATTTTGATAAAATTTACAATAATGATGATTCTTGGTATTCTTGTCCCTAAATATGGAGTCAAAAGACCCACTATGCGATTTTTTTTTCGAAAAAATGTAATTTGAAGATTAAAACAGTCCCCAAAACTAAAAATCGTATTTTTTTTGAAAATTTCTCCAAAGGGTTTTTTTTTATATTTAACCCCAATATTACTAGTACCAAAATCTATTATGGCACCAATTTTTTATCAAAAATAGTCAAGTTTTTATATTTATTAAAAAACAATATTGATTTTGAATTATTTTAACTAATTTAATTTTTTCTTCTTTCAGGGTCGATGTAATCGAGAAAAGCCTCCGTGCAAATACTTCCATCCTCCACAGCACCTGAAAGATCAACTTTTGATAAATGGACGAAATCATTTAGCGCTGAAGAATGCACTAATGCAACAAATGGGGCTCACACCGGGCCAAGCACTTGTACCTGGTCAGGTGCCTACAGTGGTATGTTTTGATTAAACCATTTTTTTTTTCGTATATTTTTTTTTTTTTTTTTTTTTTTTATTGACAATTTTTTTGCATCATATTTCTCCACTTTATATTACACGACCATAGCTTTTATCTTTTCTCGCGTGATCTCAATCCCTTGTTGAAACCATTGCTATTTAGAATTTTCCATTTAGATTTTAGTCAATTTTCACGTAATTTCTTATCGATGCATGTTACGTCCAAAATGTGATTTTTTTTTTCATTAATCAATTATATTGAATTTATTATATTTTGTAATTTATTTTTTTTTCTCTTTCGGTAAATTTTTTTTGAAGAGAAAAATTGATTTTTTTAAATTTGTATTTTTTTTATTATTCGCTAAATATATTTTTAGCAATCGGTGAAAATAATTTGTTGAATAATCAATGAATTTTTATGATTAATCAAATAATAAAAAAAAATAATAATAATAATAAATAATACAAAAAACAGGATAATAAATTTCAATTTTTTTAAATAAACCTTGATATCAAGGAAACCTTTTAAATTTTTTTTTTTAATCAGAAAGGGAATATAATAATAAATAATAATAATTATTATAAATAATAAATAATTATTATTATTGTAAGTAATTTACAATTATTATTATAAATAATAAATAATTATTATTATTGTAAGTAATAAATAATTATTATTATAAATAATAAAAAAACAAAAAAATAAATTTGAATTTTTTACAATAATTCTTGATATCAAGGAAAGCAATTAAAAAATTTTCTTTTTTTTTCGAAAACCTTAAAGTTTTTTCTTTTTTTTTTAAATAAAAGAAGCAAAAATGCGAAAAAAAAATAAAAATTTTTTTTCATTTAAAAAAATAAAATTTTGGACTGACATGCATCTTGGAGATGATTAACTACTTACAAAAGGATTTAGCACGCCGCATGTTTTCTCGTCAGTGTCATTCTAGCGATTATGTCACGCTTTTGCTTTCGTTTATCAAGTTTTTCTTAACGTCTTTCAGGCCTGTATGTATATTATATAGTTTTTCTGTTATTTTAGTTGAAAGAAAAAAAAAAATTCTTTTTCTTTCTTTTAACGTTTGTTATTTAAAAATTAATTTTTTGTTTCCTTTTTTTGCATGATTTTCGAGAGTTTTTGTCGTTTACACGCAGTTTTCTATAGTATTTTTAAAGTGTTTTAGATATTTATATTTAGGGTGTGATTTAGTTTTTTTTTTTTTTGTTCGTATTTTTCTTTCCTTTTTTTTTCTTTACTATATTATTATTTTTCTTCTAATGCAGGTCTGATTGATGTTAATTTTCATATGTGATAAATAAAAATAATTTTCTGACTCTTTAAAAATTTAGTTGACAAGCAATAACTGTATTTAAATCTACTCTTTTTCTCCAGCGCTTTAATTAGTTTTAACATATATATATAAAATATATATTTAATATTTTAAAAAACGTGTACAATTGCTATAAACATCTGCCATTATCTTTGTTTTCCCGTGTTCAGAGGCAATATTAGAATTTATATATAAATTATTACAAAAATTAATCTTATTGCATTAAGTTATAAAAAATTATAATAAAAGACAAAAGCGATTGCTTTATAAAATATTTGCAAAATTACTATCAATTTGTGAAATCATTTACACTTTACAATTCTGAGTTTGATTTTTTTTTTTAAATTAGAAATTAAGTTAATTAATTATTAATTTTTCTATTTGAGAAAATAAATTGCGTTTACCTTTGTTTTTTACTGAATAGTAAAATTAATTTAAATTGTATGAAATTTTTTTTTTATAGTTTTTTACTACAAATTGTATTTGAAAAGAAATATTGCAATAATAGAATTATAATAACGAAATAAAAATATAAAAAATATTAAACAAAAGAGATATTCAATAGACATAACAGTTTATTTGTTAAAAATAAATATAGAAAAAATGAAAACTAATAAAAGACTTGTTCATTAACTTTTTTGTTAAAATTTTATTTAATTTCAATATCTATAAAAGAATTTTATTCACAAATTTTTATCAGCTTTTTCAAATAAATTTAAACTTTAAAAAAAAATCTATTTTTACGATTTATGAACAAAATATCATCAGTTTTTATTTAGAAAATATATTTTATAAATGTAATATTTACTTTTATTCAAAGCATTCCAAATATATAGTACATTTTAATAAATAAAAATAAATTTTTTATTAAAGTGTGCTTTATGAATAGCTTTTTTATAAAGAAGAATATAATTCAAAAAAATGAAAAATCATTTTTAAGAGAAAATTAAAAAAATATCAAAACAGAATTGTAGAGAGTTTTAAAATGAGAAAAACTTGAGACACGACAGCAGAAAGCAAAAATAGAAAACCAAAAAAAAAAAAAAAAAAAAAATTGAAAAGAAAGAAAATAATGGCGCGACGTAGAAAAAAGCATCTTTGAGAAAAGGAGCGTTTTACAATAGAGTTTGATTAACATTCACACTTTGGAAATATATCTCTAATGTTACGAAATAATAATAATATTAATAATAATAATAATAATAATCGTCGTGCAACGTGATGACATCGAGCATATAATACACGTATGACTGCCTGTCTGTTCCCTATGTTTGCCGCTGTGGCGCTCGTGGTTGTGGTTGATTGTTGGTGTGTTCTCCAATAACGTCATTGGTGAACAGGAGTCTCCATCTCCTACGCCACCACACCATCACCTTCAACAGCAAATCCAGCAGCAACTACTCGCTACCCACGCCTTTATGGTAACTCCTGGTTTTGGTTGGCTTTCACTAATTTTTTTGTAGACTTCTCGGGGTAAAAAAAAATATGTCTTTGAAATACAAAACTGCCTTTTTTTATATCTCAATAATCTCCGTAAATTTCAAAAAAAAAATTTTTTTGTTTTTATAAATTTTTTTAATAATTTTTCAAAGGAAAAATAGAGTTTCATTTTCAAAATAGTGTGGAAATTTCATTTTTATACCGTGATATCGATTAGAATTGAATAAAAATAAAAAAAAATTCTCATTGAGCCGTTGGCGTAGCGGTAAAGTACTCGACTTCTCCTCTCGACGCCCAGGGTTCAATTCTTCCCGGAGGTGATTTTTTTTTTTTATTATTATTATTACATTTTTAACCTTATTTGAAAGTTTCTTACTTTTGGTATTCAAAAAACAGTATGAAAATAATTTTAATAGTAAAATTAATAATTTTCTCTTACTGAATTTTTTGATTAAATAAACTTTAAAAAACTGTTTTCAAAATTAAATTACTATTTTTAATAATACACAATTAATTAATACAAGGCATAAATTTATGTATTTCAAACGCTGTAAAAATGCCTGAGGGAAGAGTTTCTGGTTTATTTTCTTCTTTAGTTTTTTGTAATTAATAGCATTACCTACCGGCAATAGCAGTAAAATTGAGAGAGAGAGAGAGAGAAAAAAAGTAAAGAAACAGTAAATTGGGCTCATTAATTGATCCTCTTTTCTTTATACGTATTGATGGTACTTTAGAATCATAAACTTCAATTAAATAGAAGAGAATAATAATAAAAGAAGAGAGTGGGAGTTTTATTGGCAAACATAATAGTTCCTTGATTCATTTCGTTTATTTTTTATTTCCTCCAAAATCAATTGTAACACAATTAAAACAATTTGCAAAAAAAAAAAAATAAAATAATCTCTTCCCCCAGGGCAGAAGAAGTCTACGCTAGTAGTTAATATATAATTATTTTTAAGTATAAAATATAAACTTACAATGTCAAATTATTTTTAATTATTCTGTACTGTATGATTTAAAAACAGTTCTGCATAAATTTGTAATTAAATTTAAAAAAACGAGCAGTAAAAAAAAAATTGGAATAATTATCTAAATAATTAAACTATTAATTAATTTGATTATAAATTAATTAATAATTTAAATGATTAATTTGATTATTACTTTATTCGTATAATAAATAATATAACGAAAAAAAAAAATTTTTTAAATTTGAAAATGAATTTTAAAACTATTTATTTAGAAAGTAATAATTAGAAATTTTTGCAGCGCTAATTAAGCATGATGTGTTAAACGTATTAGCAATAGTAGGTGTGTTTTGATTTGTTGGAGCACGTTGGACTGAGGCTTGTTTTGACAGGGCGTACCCGAAACACAAGTGAACACGAGCTCTTTGTGTCAGACTAATGAACCTTTACCTGAACCTTTTGAAATTCACGAAGGACAGATATCACCGTTTAAATTATGTATAGAGTTTACAAATTCATTTCTGTCAAAAGAAGATGATACCACATAACTTTATTTTGTTCCCATTTCAACTCAATTAACCTCTTTAAAGTATCGAAATCGGATATTTTTTTTTTCTAAACAAATGACATCTAAGAGAATCCTTTTCACTTGTGAATTTTGACTATATATATATATTCACACATAAATATACCTATTTGTTAATATATATATAGTCGAAAATTTGCTGAAAACTGTTTTACCTTTGCTTGCCATTAAATTAAATTGCGAAATACACAGCTTGCACTTGAAAGAGAATGATATGAAGAGGATGAATGCCTTGAGTGAAGTTCAAATTGCTGGAATAAATGAATGAGCGAATGAAATTGGTGGTGCAAAGTATCTCAATAGTTGATGCAAGACAGAAAATTTCCATTTCATTTACCAACTAATTGGAATAAGTTTATTCTATTTTTAAACCTAAAACACTTTTCATGTCGCTATTTTAGATAAAATTAGGTTAATGAGAAAGAATACGTTTCAGAGAATGTAGATTCTAAAAAAAAGATGTTGACTCGTCCTTTGATTTTTTTCACATTAACAACGCGATTTAATGATAAAATTCAGTAGAAATGGAAAAAATTTACTATTGAGTCGTTGGCCTAGCGGTAAAATACTCTGCGTCAAAATCCGGCGCTTCGGGTTCAATTCTTCCCAGAGGTTTTTTTTTTTAAATTATAATATGTGTCAGAGAAACTAGATTCTTAAAAACTGTTGATTCATCTTCTGATTTTTCCTACTAACAACGTAATTTAATGATAAACTTCACTAAAAATGAAAAAAAAATTTAACTGAACCGTTGGCCTAGCGGTAAAGTACTCTGGGTCAAAATCCGGCGCTCCGGGTTCAATTCTTCCCAAAGGTGATTTTTTTTTAATTTTTAATTTAATTAATTTTCTGTCAGAGAAAGTAGATTCTAAAAAACTGTTGACTCGTCCTTCGATTTTTCCACATTAACAGCGCGGTTTAATGATAAAATTCACTAGAAATGAAAAAAATTTAGTATTTAACCGCTGGCCTAGCAATAAAGTACTCTGGGTCAAAATCCGGCGCTCTGGGTTCAATTCTTCCCAAAGGTGATTTTTTTTTTTTTTTATTAACTTATAATACACGTCAGAAAAAATAGATTCTAAAAAAATAAAAAATGTTTATTCGTCCTCTAATTTTCCTCATTAAAATGCGTTTTAATGAAATAAAAAATAAACAGGAAAAAATGTCCTATTGAACCGTTGGCCTAGCGGTAAAGTCCTCTGCATCAACTATCCGGCGCTCTGGGTTCAATTCTTCCCAGAGATGAATTTTTTTTTTTTTTTTTGAAGATGTTTGCACTTTACCTTAATTTAAAACGAATGATGAATGGTGAAAAAATTTGAGAAATATTTGTACGATTGACAATGTCTGAATGTAAATTTAGATTTTAGATTAATATAATTAATAAATAAATTCTAACGTCATTAACCTGGATGGGTGTCCGGGTGTATTTTTTTTCCACAGGCAACAAATCCGTACCTGACTGGAATGCCGCAGGTGGGCAACACATACAGTCCATATTTTGCGCCAAGTCCAATAATGCCAGCAATAATGGGACCCGCGGATCCCACGGGTGTGGGAAGTCCATTGGGAGTGGTGCCGCAGACGGTGGCAATGCCGCAGAAGATGCCGCGAACAGATCGCCTCGAGGTATGTCTACCATCAAACTACATTCGTCAAGCTGGGGCCCAACATGGCGCCGCCGCCGGGGCCCAATGCCCAATGACTGGGCCCACAAGAACGCGAGCGACCGTATATCAGGTTACAGCCGGCGGTCCCCAAAATCGAGTGTCACCCGTCTCCACGATGCAATCTGTCAATAATAATCAGTCCCCATCACCCACCATTACAACCAGCCCCACCACAACAACCTCATCCGTTTGCACTCCATTACACAATCCCCACCATTCACTTCATAATCCCCTCCACAATCTTGTCTACGTTCACGCGTACTATGAGGGGCCCTATGTCCCAATTTACGTTCGCACGTAACCTTCTACTTTCGAGTTTTTGCAATTTCAATTGAATCCTCATTTTTTCATGCTAATAAAGTCGAGAAGTAAATCAAGAATTGAAAAATCCTCTCAGTTTTGATTTTTTTAGTCGGGTCTTTTTTTTTTAATTTCCTTTTTGTTTTATTTTGTGGTTTACGGCCTTTGGAAGGTGGGGTTTTTGGGCCTTATCTCTAGTGGTGGGGGTAACTAAATACCTCGCGCATCTTTTAATTAATTTTTTTTCTATAGCTTAATGGTGTCATTTTTTTTTTAATTTTCTTTTTGTAATTATTACAATTGAAATGTGATTTTTACAACAATAAAATTAATTTAGATTTATTTTTCATGTAAATAGAGGGATAATAACGATAATGAAGTAGTGATAAATACAATAAGTAATAATGATAATGGATATAAATAATAATCGTGTAGGGTAAAAATGAAATTTAATTTCAAAAAGTAGAAACCGAGAAAGTGTTGTTTTAGCGTGCCGTTCTTGGAAATCAGCGCGCGCACCTTGTGAGCAGTGGGGGAAAGCGTGCTGTGATTGGTCACCCCCACTACTTGCATGCTGCGCGCGCATGGTTCTCTCTAAATTGACGCCACGCTAAAAGAAAATTAAGCTCGGCTCAAAGTAAATTAATTATTTGTTTAAAAAAAATAACAAATCTTTGAATTTGACGTCAAATGCAATCTTTTCAATTATATTGCAGCTGTGATTATGAAAAAAAATTAAAAATTACGTATAATTTTAAATCATTATTTTAGTTATTATTTGTAAAATTGTATTATTATTAAAAATAGTAAAACAGCAATTTAAAATAATTTGGCGGCAAATTCAAATATCAATTAATTTCTCATTTAAAAAATAGCAAATATTAATATAACAAAATCAAATCGATTAAAATTTTTTGACAATAAAAAAATGACACCATTTTTTAAAAATTAATTTATTAAATTAGTTTTTAATCTTTTTATTAAAGGAATTATTAACTGTTTTATTAAGTTAATTATGAATTAATTTATTAAATGTATTAATTCATAGAATGAATTTTTAATTCATTAAATGAGTTTTTAATTAATTCATTAAGTCAATTTATTAATTAATTTATGAAATTAGTCTTCAATTAATTTACTAATTTATTTTCAAAAATTAAATTTTAATTAAGTTATAGTTATTATTATTATTATTAATTTAGTTAAAAAATGGTATAAAATTGTGTCAATAGAGAAAAACATAAATACTTGAATTATTTTTAAACTTATTGTATAGATATATTTACAACAATAATAAAAAAAAATAATTTTTTTTTAATAATAAGATGGCCTATATTTTACACACTGTGACCTATTTAATAAGTATCTAGTCAAGGTCACATTAACGTTAATATTTTACACAAAAAAAAAATAAATACTAATTTACTAACTAATTTATATATTATTGAATAATTTTACTATTTAATTAACTGGTCAATTTTTGTAATAGGTGATAAATTATTTACCGACCAATTTATTATTATTTAATATACTTATTTTTTCTTAATTTATTCTTGATTTTAAATAACATTTTCATTGAAAAAAAAATAATATTCTGAATTTAAAAATATATTTTAGCTTCTTTTTGAAAAAAAAAAATCGCAGACATCTTAAAAATTAACTTTTAATTTTGGAATAAAAATTCCTATTAAATTAAGAATATTTTTACATGTACTCAAAAAAAAAAAATTATTTTAGATACTTTTCCATTGCTTTGAAATTTTTTTTTCAATTTTGAAGATAATATACGATTTTTTTTTTGCTTTGAAAAAAATAGAAGCTAAGAAATATTCTTAAATTTAGAATATAATTTTTAAAAAAACTATTTGTTTGAAATTATTTTTTATTTTACTCATTCCTTGTGTTAAATGACTGTGAGCTGAAAAAGCTTTATTATATAGGTGATATTTATATATAAATATAATTGAAGCACAAATACTTCAACGACACAATGTAATCAATTCAATAACTAGACAATTAATTTAGTAACGAATATTCAGGACAATGAATTCATTAATTAAAAATTAATCAAATTTATTGTGTATTTACATTTTCGAATTAATGACGAAAAAAGGGACTTTTGTCACAAGAATGAAGGACTTTTTTTCTAGATATAGACAATTTTTAAGGAAAAAAAAAGAAAGAAATGAAACAAAAAGAAAGGCATTGTTTATAAAGTAAAAAAAAAACATACAGATGAGTCGCTATATATAATACAAGTCTTAAGATTATTAAGGGAATCGATACTGAAAGAAGCCTTTAAATGTCGTTTTCCCAGTAAGTTTAGTGAACCTAATAATAATATATAACTATATATAGAATTAAAAAAAAAAAAAAGAAAATTGAAATACAAAATAGAAAAAAAAAACCTGAAAAAAATACGTACCTATTTATGGTAAAATAAAAATAATTACACTAAATCTTCTTGATCAGTGTTTATCAATTCAAAATAAGAAAAATTATAAAAAAAAAAAAAAATTAAATAACTAGTGAAAAATAATAAAATTCAAATGTAGAAGATTATTCAAATTTTTTTTTTTATTTTAATATAAAACGGAAAAGTCATTTTTGTTTTTATTTTCAATTTTTTTTTTATATCAACAACAAAAAAAAATCACAATGCAAGGAATTAGTCTAGATAATATTAGTTTTGAGAATTTAGATATTTTTATGGAAAGGAAAAAAAAATTTTTCGTTGTAATGTAGCCTGAGAGAAATATTCAAAATTCTTATTTTTATACATTTCATACGGGTATAAATAAAAAACATCATTATCAACTTTATAATCATATCTTCAAGCACATTATACACTATTTATTATTTATTTAAAAAAAAAAAATACAATTTTTCTTAAAATAATTGTATACAATATTTTTTAACACAAAAAATAATATTGTATTTAATAATATTTCATTAATGTAATATAATTACATTTAATAATATTTTATTTTATATTATATATTAATAGATAATAACACAGTTTTGTAATATAATTACATTTAAAAAATAATTTTTAATATATATGACAATTAATTTATAGTTTTAATATATATAATATACGTTTATATATGAAAATTTGAATTAAATTTAATGTCTATAATTACGTTGATATTAATAAAATTACGTTATATTGAATTTGTGTTAATAAAATTACGTTTATAGTAATATTAAATTAATAACTAGTAAAAGTACATTTAAATATATTTAATAAAACGATTGTTTATTGAAAATAAATAGAATTGTCTAGTAGTAAAGAGTAATTGAATAAAAATAGAATTTTTAGAAAAATCATTTTTCGTGTTTTTTTCTTTTGTTTTATACTTATTATTATTATTAATTTTTTCTTTATCTATATTTATTTGGAATTATTGTCGAGTGGTTAATAGACGATAGTCCTTCCGCTTATGTCTTTCAAAGGTTTAAAAAAAAAAAAAAAAAAATCTCTCCTATTTCATATTTCTGTAAAATAAGAATAAACTTAATGAGAATTTAGGAATTTGTATATGTACACACCAATAAACGTTGTATTTCTATATACTGATATAGAATTAAAGTAAAATTAATTTCAAAAAAAACTGAATTTTATTTTTTATTTATTGCTATTTATAAATTTTTTTTTAATATCGAAATTTGTTTACTGAATAGACTTGAAGAAAAAAAAGGGGCACATTTTTTTACCGTCGAAAAAAGCACACTAAAAAAACATTTTTCTAGTAAATAAAATATTAAAATTAAGAATTGACTAAATTTAGAATTGTTAACTTTTTCTCTAATATTATATTTCAAATAAAAAAAATTGTTTTCTTGATTAGAATATAAAGTAGCGTCGTTTTTCTTTTTAGATTCTCTTCCTTCGATATACTGTTGGTTGAGAAATCTGCGCGCGCAGTATACAAGGAGTGGGGAGAGATGACGCGCAAGGGTCAATGACACGCGCTATCCCTACTTTTTAAATATTGCGCGCGCAGCTTGCTTAGAGTGGGTATAACGCACGCTATAAATTTTCGTTTACAATTCAAAACTAAATTTTTTTTTACTTTAATTTGAAGCAATTTTTTTCTATATTTACTTGTATAATTTTTTTTTTCAATCACTAAACGAATAATTTTTATAATTTGTTAAACAGAAAATTTTATTATTTATTTTACAAAATTGTTTTTTATATAACAAAAAATCGTTTATTATTTTTATAAAAAAAAAATTTTTATATTATATTTATTTAACGAAAAAAAACAACAAAATTTATTCATTAACGATACGATGATAAATTTTATCAATATAATAATAATAATTTATCGATCTAACTCGAAAGTGAGATTAACGAAACAAAGTCGCATTAACGTAGACAGATTGAAAATCCCGAATATTATATGGAAATGAAAGGAATAAAAATCCCAAGCGATCGAAAGAAAAAAAAAATAATCTTTCCCTTTTCCTTTCCTTATTCGCATTGTTTCTGCCAGACAAGCAAAACCTCAACTCCTCCCGCCATGAATAAAAAAAAAAAAAAAAAAAAATTAGGAAAGACAATTCGGAACTTACCATTGAAAGATTAAAAAAAAACAAAAGAGAGTAAAAAAAAGAAGCCTAGGGAAAAAAAGAGAATAAAAAAAAAATACA